CTCTCCTCTCCTCTCCTCTCCTCTCCTCTCCTCTCCTCTCCTTTCCTCGTTCCTCTCCTCTCTCCTCCTCCTTGTTCCTTCCTCCTTCCTCCTTCCTCCCCCCTCGTCCCGCCTCCTCCCATTCGGGCCTCTGACCTCCGCATCCAGTACGGCGTTTCGTGGCCCCATAGGGAGCCCCACCGAAGGCTCCAGTGGCGGTGACCACATGCGTTCCTCGCCACCCAGTGCGGAGTTCCCGTGGCCCCACTGAAGGCCCCAGTGGCTGTGGCCACATGCGTCCCGCGCCGCCCAGTACAGCCTTTCATGGTCCCATAGGGACCGAAGGCCCCGGTGGCTGTGGTCACAGGCGCCCCGCGCCGCCCAGTACGGCGTTTCGTGGCCCCATAGGGAGCTCGACCGAAGGCCCCAGTGGTTGTGACTACATGCGCCCCGCGCCACCCAGTACCGCGTGTCGTGGCCCTATATGGAGCGCCGCCGAAGGCCCAAGTGGCTGTGAGCACATGCGTCCCGCGCCACCTTGTACGGCGTTTCGTGGCCCCACAAGGAGCTCCATCGAAGGCTCCAGTGGCTGTGACCACATGCGCCCCGCGCCGCCCAGCACGGCGTCTCGTGGCCCCACAGGGAGTTCCACCGAAGGTCCCAGTGGCTGTGACCACATGCGCCCCGCGCCGCCTTGTAAGGCGTTTCGTGGCCCCACAGGGAGTTCCACCGAAGGCTCCAGTGGCTGTGCCCACATGCGTCCCGCGCCACCCAGTACAGCGGTTCATGACCCCCTCACCGAAGGCCCCCGTGCCTCCGCGCCGCCCAGCACGGCGTTTCGTGGCCCCATCGGGAGCTCGACCGAAGGCCCCAGTGGCTGTGGCCACATGCGTTCCGCGACACCCAGTACGCGGGGGAGGAGGAGGAGGAGTCGGAGGAGTCGGAGGAGGAGGAGGAGGAGGAGGAGGAGGGGGATGAGGAGGGGAGGAGGAGGATGAGGAGGCGAGGAGGCGGAGGAGGAGGAGGAGGTGGAGGAGGGGAGGAGGAGGAGGAGGAGGAGGAAGAGGAGGAGGAGGAGGAGAGGAGGAGGAGGAGGAGGAGGAGGAGGAGGAGGAGGAGGAGGAGGAGCAGAAGGAGGAAAAACAGTAGGGGGATGATAATGAGGAGGGTCTTCGGCCCTTCTGGCAGCTTATGTAGGTAGCGAGCAAGGAGGAGGAGGAGGAGGAGGAGGAGGAGGAGGAGGAGGAGGAGGAGGAGGAGGAGGAGGAGGAGGAGGAGGAGCAGGAGGTGGGGAGGACGCTTATATACGACGTCGCGAAGCAGTCCCGTATCGTCAAAATTCACGACGGGAGCCCCACACCCCATCTCTCTCTGTGGCACCTCTCGAGCCGCACCCTTCCGCAAGTGAGGGCCCCGGGGCCCGGTGCGAGGGAGCATGGCGACGCCAGCAGGTCACGGGCCGCGGAACAGGCGGTCCGAGTCTCCGGCCTCCGCCTCGGGCGCGTTTTTCCGCCCCGTGCTCCTTGGTGAACAACAATCGCGACGGCATGATTTCCGCTATTGTCGGCCTCTGGGGGCCCGTATGCTGGGCCTCGGGACCGTCAAGAAACGGTTCCGGATGGGAGAAATACGTCCTGGGGAAGGGCGGGGGTCCAGACCTCTGGGGGTCGGCGTTGGGGAAAAATCGCGACGTCGGGGCTCTGGGTTTTTCCTTCGGATGGTCCCGGGGCTCGAAGGCGGCTCCCCGCGTGGGCCCACGTCGAGGAGGAGCCGCCGCCCGAAGACTCCCACCGTGCCGTCCGAGCTCGGCCTCCCTGGCCTTCTGGGGCCCCGCCGGCCGCCCGATCGGGCAGGCTCGCCCGGCCGCCCCGGAGCCGGCCACAGCCCGGAGCGCCGGCGGCGACGTGGTCATGGCGGCGGAGGCTCGGGCGCCGCGCGCGCGGGGGCGGCCCGCGCGCGCCCCCCGCCCGCAGGGCGCGCTGGCGTGGGGGCGGCGGCGCGCCCAGGCCAGGGTACACGGGGCGCCCACGAGGCGCCCACGGGCGGGCACGGGGCGACAGCTCGGCGGACCCGGCCAGGGCACGCGGCAGGCCACGAGCGCTCACGAGGCGCGCGCGAGGCGCGCACGGGGCTCGGTGCGGACGGGGGTCCGCCAGAGCGCTGGGTCTGACAGGATCCTGCAGGGCCCGTCCTCCTCCTCCTCCTCCTCCCTCCTCCTCCTCCTCCTCCTCCTCCTCCGCCTACTCATCATCTTCCTCCTCCTCCTCCTCCTCCTCCTCCTCCTCCTCCTCCTCCTCCTCCTCCTCCTCCTCCTCCCCCATCTCCGGCTGAGGGGTGAGGGGTGCCGGATCCTGCGGGAGCCTGCAGGACCTTGCAGGATCCTGCCAGTCCTGAGTGGCCCCGGTCCGTCTCGGCGCGGGCCAGGGCGTCCCCGACCACGGCCCACGACGGGCCGGGCGGACCCAGGGACCGTCCAAGAGCGGCGCGGGGCGGAAGGCGATCCCGGGGGAGGCGTCGGGAGCTTCCAGGGGTCGGGGGTCCGGGGAGGCAGGGGCAGCGGCGGGCCCCGGGAGCTGGGCGCCGCGGCTGCTCTCCGCAGGGCGTGCCCGCCCCTTCTTGAAGTTTTTTCGTTCGGGCCGCTGGGGCTCTCCCAGGGTCGGCCGGGCTCGGGGGCTGCGGCGTCCAGCCGTGACGCCTGCCGACTTTGCATTTTTTTTTCTCCCGGGGAGGGGCTCGGGCCCAGGGTTCTCTCGCAGGAGGTGAGTCTGCGCCCCGTGCCACGTTCGAAGAGAGCCGGCGGATGGTGTCTCTGGGTGTCTCCGGGCGCGTTGATTTTTCCCAACCCTCCCTTGGTTGGGCTCTCGTTTTGAATGGAGCACTGTGGTCTCCACACCCTCCTCCTCTCTCCCCCCTTTCCTCCTCCTCCTCGTCGTCGTCGTCGTCCTCCTCCTCCTCCTCCTCTTCCATTTCTTCTCCTTATATATAACTTTTCACTGTCGCACCCCGAGGCCAGTTTTTAGGGCGGGCCGGGCGTTTCGTCTTAGACGTCCTCACCATTTGTGTTCTTGAAGCTTAGAAAGTGACAGCAGTTTTACAGATGGAGGGCGGGTGGTTTTCGAAATGTGGCTCTCGCCTTAGCGCCGCGCACGTTCGTTCTAAACAACTGCAAGAGTTGTACGGTTTGAGGACGGGTCTTTTTCAAAATATGGTTCTCGCTTCAGCTGCGCGCACATTCGTTTTAAACATTGCAAGACTTTCACGGATTGAGGGCGGGCCGTTTTCAAAATGTGGCTCTCGCCTTAGCGCCGCGCACATTCGTTCTAAACAACTGCAAGAGTTGTACGTTTTGAGGACGGGTCTTTTTCAAAATGTGGTTCTCGCTTCAGCTGCGCGCACATTCGTTTTAAACTTTGCAAGAGTTTCACGGATTGAGGGCGGGCCGTTTTCAAAATGTGGCTCTCGCCTTAGCGCCGCGCACATTCCATCTACACAATTGCAAGAGTTTCACGGACTGAGCGCGGTTCGTCTTCAAAATATGGCTCTCGCCTTAGCGCCGCGTACATTCGGCTTTAAACATTTGCAACAGTTTCACGCGTTCCCATGATCAGCGTACGAGAATTTGTGGTTTTGGAAGGTTTCAGGATTATGAGGGTGCCACAGTTAGTTATGTAGATTTGCGATGCTGAAATCCCACAAATGGCGTTATGGCACGATTCCAGATAGTCAAAACGCATCAGTCCGGTTGATATTTGGCGTTGAAATCCCGAGAGCAATGTTTTGGCATGCTTCAGGATCTCCAAACGGTTGTCTTCCAACGAGGCAGCTCCTTCTATGGAAATGAACCGTTGTAGGGGCCCATGAAGAGGGAGCTTGGAGGAAGGGTTAATTCCAACATCGTTGATGATTCTTGGGTTTACAAAGGTCTTCCTCCTTCTCCTCGTCCCCTCTCCTCCTCCTCCTCCTTCTCCTCCTCCTCCTTTCTCCTCATCCTCTGGTTTCCTGCCCCCTACCTCCCCTGCTCCTGCCTCCTTGCCTCCTTTCCTCGTCCCTTCCTACTGGCGGGCTGCGAATTACGCAACCGCAACTTTCATGGTTTTCTGGTTGGCACAGCTGGGTGCATGGCAACGCAGATCATTTCAGACCTCGCGGCTCCGCCGGGGGCTGCGAAATGCGCAACCATCGCCATTTTCGTGGGCTCCTGGGAGGCACGGCGGGGTGCAGGGCAGCGCAGATCATCTGAGACATCACGGCTCCCCCGTGGGCTGCGAACTGCGCAACCATCGCCACGAACGTGGTCTCCTTGGAGGCACGGCGGAGTGCAGGCCAGCGCAGATCATTTTTTCTGGGATCCGTGGGCAACGCAGATCTTTTGAGACCTCGCGGCTCCCTCGGGGGCTGCGAGCTGCTCGATTGTCGCCACCTTCGAGTGTTTCTGGGAGGCACGGCTGAGTGCACGGCAGCGCGGATCATTTGAGACCTCGCGGCTCCTTCGAGGGCTGCGAACTGCGCAACCGTAGCCTTTTTCGTGGCCTCCTGGGGTGCAAGGCTGCGTGCAGGGCAACGCAGATCATTTGAGACCTTGCGGCTCCTTCGGGGGGCTGGGAACTGCACGACGGTCGCCATTTTCGTGGACTCCTGGGGGGCGCGGCTGCGTGCAGGGCAACGCAAATCATTTGAGACCTCGCGGCTCCTTCGGGGGGCTGGGAACTGCGCGGATCATTTGAGACCGCGCGGTTTCCTCGGGGGCTCTCATGGGAGGCACGGCGGAGTGCAGGGCGCCCACACTGCGCGTGCCCAGATGGCGCGTGGTGTCGTCCCGTTACTCAGCGCGCGGCGTGTTTGCATCACAGTCGCGCAGCGCAGTGCGCTGTCCTCAGCGGCCGACTTCCCGCCCCGTCCTTGGGTGCCTGTCGCCCGCAGGAGTAGCAGGGTTGGGCCGAGCAGAGGTAGCGCATGGCGCTGTAACTCTCACCTGAGCGTTTTCCCCTTCCGTCTCCATCGTCATCGTCCTCCCCCTCTGCCTCCTCGTCCTCTGCTTCTCTTCCCTGTTCTGTGTTCCCTGTCTTGCTCGTCGTCGCCGTCCCTTTTGCGATCCGAGTTGCGCAGGGGTGCGGCGCGCTTGGCCCGACACTGCTTGGCGAAGCATGTCAGGGTGCTGCATATCTCGCAATGTGTTCCTTGTGCATGGAGTGTTTATATGAGTAGTCGCCTCGCGTGGAGACGGGTGTGGGTGCGCTGCCGATACTTTTCGGCGGAGGTCTCGAGTAAAACGCTCGTGGTGCATTTTTCCTTGAGGGTGGCTCTCGTTAGACGCTTGTTTTGCATAATTGGAGTGTGTCTCGAGCGAGGCGATTATTCTGCAGAGCGTAGATAAGATGTCTCGAGCGAAACGTATGTCCTCAAGACTTGGAGGGGCTTGGACGCCCCAGGTTTCTCCAGAAGGCTCTGTGAGCGCACCCATCCGATTCCTGGAACTGGCGCATTCTGGTGGGTCCCACGAGCGGGGTTGCGACTTTGCAAAGCATCGTTGCCTAGGGAACATGGGCGCAGCCTAATTCATCGAAGACGCCTACGGCGAATCACCGCCGCCCCCTGCCTTCTAGAAATAGCCCATGTGGCCGAGCGTTGTGACAAGAGCTCTGCCAAGCTGTGGAACCATGTGTTCCCAAACCATTGCGGAAACCCTTTGGGGAACACTTGGGGGAGGATGGCAGGGAAGATCAGGAGGAGGAGGAGGAGGAGGAGGAGGAGGAGGAGGAGGCGGGGAGGAGGAGGAGAGGAGGAGGGAGGAGGAGGGAGGAGGAGGAGGGAGGAGGAGGAGGGCGGAGGGAGGGAGGGAGGAGGGAGGAGGGAGGAGTAGGAGGAGGAGGATGGAGGAGGAGGGGAGGGGGAGGAGGAGGAGGAGGAGGAGGAGGAGAGGAGGAGGAGGAAGGAGTGAGGAGGTAGGAGGAGGCATCTGGGGGCCTTCTGGGAGTCCTATTGCGAGGCATACTTGGGGCCTCTTCTGGGCTGTTGTGGGCCCTTCGGGGGCTTCTCGGGGGCCTCTTGGCCGTCTTGTTGGCTCATGGCTCCGCCTGACGCCGTCGGAAGCGTTGGGGGTTTGGGCCGTTCTGGGGGCACTCTTGTGGGTCGTGCTAAAACCACATGCACCAATACATGACTTTAGCTCCTCGCCGAGGCCTTCTGGGACGATCCAACGTTCTCGCGGAGGCCCCTTCCAAAACCCAGGGGGGGGGGGGGCGTTCAGGGGGAGGGGTAAGACCCTCCTCAAAGGGGACAAGGGACGACAGATGAGGAACCTTCCTAAACCACTCACGCCCTAAAGGGCTGGTGTGATTTATAAACGGGACCGTGACCCTTGGAGCGCGGACGCAGCGTAACTTACGAGGGTCCGTGGCCCTTGGAGCGCGGACGCATCGTACTTTACTGGGGATCGTGGCCCTGGGAGTGTGGATCCGATCAGGCGTATTTTACGATGGAATATGTGGCTGACAGCGCGGATGCAGGAGAAGTTGCTATGGATCGCGGCGTCTTCCTTTTTGATTTTTTTTTTTTGTTTTTTTTTTTTTTTTTTCTTTTTTGTTTTTTTTTTTTTTTTTTTTTTTTTTTGTTTTTTTTTTTTTTTTTTTTTTTTTTTTTTTTTTTTCTTTTTGATTTTTTTTGTTTTGTTTTTTTTTTTTTTTTTTTTTTTGTTTTTTTTTGTTTTTTTTTTTTTTTTTTTTTTTTTTTTTTTTTTGTTATTTTTTTGATTTTTTTTGGATTTTTTTTTTTTTTTTGAAGCCAGGTACCTTGCAGAGGCCGAGGCTCTTGGGAGCGCGGTGAAGACTTACACAGAGCAGGGTGGGTCGTGCCCTTGGACACGTCCCCATCCCCCGTCGTGTCCTCTGGTACATCCCCTTGCCTGCGCATTCCCTGGCACGTTTGCGGCGTGCCCACTGACACGTTCCGTGGCGCATCCCACGGCACGCCTTCTGGCACGATCCCCAGAGTGTCTCTTTGCGCTTCCATTCGCGTGTTCCCTTGCGCGTCCACTGTCACGTCCCCTAGCATGTCCACGGAGCAGAGTGGGTCATCTTTTGGCTCGTCCCTTGCCAAGTTCAGCAATTTCAGTGGCACGTCCCACGGCGCGTCCCCTGGCTTGCGCGCCCCGCAGCACGTCGCCAGCGCGTCCCCTCACACGTCCCGTGGCGCCATGGCACGTCCCTTGGAACGTTTTGTGGCATGTTCCCTGGCTCTTCCACTGGCGCGTCCACTGCCACGTCCCCTGGCACGTCCACTGGTGCGTTCTGTGGCACGTGCCCTGGCTCGTCCTCTCGCGCGTTCCCTGGCTCGTCCTCTGGCGCTTCCTCTGCCCGTTCTTTGGCGCGTCCCCTGGCGCGTCCCTTGCCACGTCTCCTGGCGCGTCCCCTGGCACGTCCCTCGGGACATCCCCTGGCACGGCGTCCACTGGCACGCCCTCTGGCACGCGCATTTCAGGGTGCCGTGACAGGTCCCCGACGCTTTATATTCGACAACTCTTGTGCCTAGACGTTCACGGCGGACAGGTCCATGCGAATCGATGCACATATGGGGAGCTGCACGCAGTGAATAATTTATCAGACGCCTTCTTCTTCTTCTCCTTTTCTTTCCTCGTCTCGTCCTGTTTAGAATCGCTCATCTTCAGATATGCTCATGCTCAGACATGATGATGCTACTGCTGATGCTGAATATGGTACTGAAGTGATGCTGATGATAATGAAGAATATCCTGAGGATGATGATGAGTATGATCGTGATGATGCTGATGATGACAATGACAATGACGATGCTGCTGCTGATGATGATGATGATGATAACGATGACGATGACGATGATGATGATGATGCTGCTGCTGATGATGCTGATGATGATGATGAGGATGTTGCTGATGATGATGATGATGATGATGATGATGATGATGATGATGATGGTGATGATGATGATGATGATGATGATGATGATGATGATGATGATCATGATGATGAGATGATGAGATGATGATGATGATGATGATGATGATGATGATGATGATGATGCTGATGATGATGATGATGATGATGATGATGATGATGATGATGATGATGATGATGATGATGATGATGATGATGATGATGATGATGATGATGATGATGATGATGATGATGATGATGATGATGATGATGATGATGATGATGATGATGATGATGATGGCGGAACAATTTCTGAGGATGTTTCGAGCGAGGCGCGGGTTTCATCACCCCCAAGGAGGAGCCGCCAGGGGGTATAGCACTTTCCGTTCGCGCCAAACTGGTAGGGATGTCTCGAGCGGGTTGCCTGTTCCCTGGCCCGACGTTCTCCGCTTTCGGAGCAGCTTCTCTCGAGCGAGGCTTCCCTTTTCGCCCCCAAGGGGGGGCAAGATTTTGAGGATGTCTCGATCGGTTTGCCTGTTTTGGTGGCCAGAGTCGAGGATGTCTCGAGCAAGGCGCGGGATTCAGCACCCCCAAAGGTGAGCCGCCAAGGGGTATCGCACTCCTCCGTTAGCGCTAAAATGGCGGGGATGTTTCGACCGGTTTGCCTGTTTCAAGATCCAACATCATCCGCCTTCGGAGCAGCTTGGGAGGATCTCTCGAACGAGGCTTCCCTTTTCGCCTCCAAGGGGGCCATATTTTGAGGATGTCTCGAGCGGTTTGCTTGTTTTGGTGGCCAGAGTCGAGGATGTCTCGAGCGAGGCGCGGGATTCAGCACCCCCAAAGGTGGGCCGCCAAGGGGTATCGCACTCTTCCGTTTGCGCCAAAATGGCGGGGATGTCTCGAGCGTTTTGCGTTTTTCAAGGCCCAACATCATCCGCCTTCGGAGCAGCTTGGGAGGATCTCTCGAGCGAGGCGCGTACTTTCGCCCCCAAGGGGGGCCAGACTCTGAGGATGTCTAGATCTGTTTGCCTGTTTTGGTAGCCAGAATCGTGGGCACGGATCCTCCCCAGGATGCAACAGGAGGCTCCAGCCAGGAGGCCCGAGGAGGCAACGGGAGGTGCCAGGAGGCATCAGGAGGCCACAGGAAGATCCAGAAGGCCGCAGGATGCCCCAAGAGGCTCCAGGAGGCCCCAGGAAGCTCCAGAAGGCCTCAGGATGCTCCAGGATGCTCCAGGATGCCACAGGAGGCCACAGGAGGCCACAGGAGGCCACAGGAGGCCACAGGAAGCGCCAGGAGGCACCAGGAGGCCCCGGAAGGCCCCAGGAGGCCCCAAGAGGCCCCAGGAACAGGAGGCTTCAGAAGGCCACAGGAGTGGCTCCAATCCCATGTGCTGTACGTGTGCTCCTATAGATTGTGCCTTTCCTGGAGCGCGAATCCTTTTCGTGTTTGTCTTATGTTTCTATAGGTTGTCCTTCTCATATGTATCCGATCCTAAGTGTTTAACGTATGTTTCTCTAGATTTGGCCCCCCCCCCCTGGGGCACGAGAGTCCTTGGTGTTTTACGTGTGTTCCTATATAATGCCTTTCTCCTGCAGCTCCACTCCGCAGTGTTTTGTATGCGTCTGTCCTTATATATATATATATGCATATATATGTATATATATATATATATATACATATATATATATATATAATATATATTATATATATATTGGGCCTCCCCTGATCTCCCCAGGAGGCCCCACGAGGCTCCAGGAGGCTCCAGGAGGCCCCAGGAGGCCAGCCACACGATGCCCCAGGAGGCCCCAAGAGGCTCCATGAGGGCCCAGGACCCCAGGAGGTTTTGGGAGGCCCCAGGACGCCCCAGGCTAATGCGCAGAGACGCGCTCGTAGTACTGAGACTCATTCACACTTCAATTCATTCACAGTTAGAGTCACTCCCAGACCGGCAATACTCAAGCCCGCCTATACTCGAAAACTCTGGCGCCTAGACAATCAAGGCGGATAGGCCCATGCTAATATATGATCATATCGGGAGCTCCACGCAGTGAATAATGTTTTAGTCGCGATGCTGACACTTGTGCGCTGCGTGTAGCTGTTGCACGTTCGCTGTGATAATGTACAGTGTTCGTGACAACCCTTTTGGAGGCAGGCGTGGCTTCCATGATGATTGTAGCCAGCAGAGAACATGCGGATTCATAGTTCGGTGGTGGAAAAGCCAGCTGGCCGTTACTGCGGCCAGCAGGCGCAGATGAGTATCGAAAGCGCAGCCCATCATCTCGCTAGAGTGCCTGGAAGTGCTCCGTTGAAGCGCAACCGCTTGACATATAGATCTGCCAGACACTAACACGGACGGAGCCATCCTAGAACACAGTTCGAGCACAATCCGCCGCCCACGTCGCCCACAGTCCCCATGTTTCCCCTCACTGTGCA